ATAACCTTGACCGGTTACAAGGAAAATCACCGGGACCGGGACCGGGACCGGTTATGTCGGGACCGGTTACCGCCGGTTTTTGTCGCGATTAGGCCCGGTAGGGAMCGGTTAAGGCCCGGCCCGGGACCGAATTTTGGCCACCTCTAGTTGCAAGTACTTTTTTTTGAAAATGAACAGTTACTTTGGAACAAACTAAAATAGAAACATACACTTATTTTGAGACGGACCGAGTATTTGTTTTTGTTATTTGTAGACATCATTCGTCTTCTAACAATGAACTATTATTTATAGTAATTTATATGTATTAATAATCGGTTAATATCTTATCATATTATTTATGGACTAAGTTTCTATTTACCACATTTTTGTACATATAATTAGTTACTATACGATTTAGACGTACACTTATTTATTTTTTAATAAAAATTGGTGGAGACATCATCCTCTTTTAAAAAAAAAATAAACTTCATCATCAATTAGACAAACAATGCATAAGTTATCCACACCCCTCTTGTTACTATTACTCATTTTATTTAATTTTAAAACTTTATTCTTAAACAAATCTCTCTCTCTCTCTCTCTCTCTCTATATATATATATATATCAAAATTTCACTAATTGGATTTTATTAGTTTTTTTCGAATTATTTAAATATATGTGTTGATAATTCTATTAACAACTAACATATATTTATATAAACAATATTCAGATCATTAACCAAAATACTCATATTACCATGCAACGCACGGTTACACACTAGTTGCAAGTAATACTAGTCTTGCAAAACCCGAATCGTTCAATCAAGCGAATAACATCACAATATTATTGATTTGATGAAAATCTTTTACCACAAACGTTTACCAAGCCCCAACCATTCCCCCCGAATCGTTCAATCAAGCGAATCTGCATCCAATTTAATTTGACTTCCTTTAATAGTAGTTGCACAATGAACATACCGCAAGAGCAGATCTCGAGCAGAAACAAACGCATTGAAAAGGGTTTAGAATATTGAACAATGAACAAACACAAGAGCAGATTCGAACAGAAATAAACGCAATGAAGAGAAGGTTTAGAATGTTGAACAAACAAACGCAAGAGCAGATCTCAAGCAGAAACAAACCTCTAGCAGAAGCATTGACGGATGCATGCGATCAAACAGGAAGAACATGAGCAACATGGGCACATGGGCAGAAAATGGTAGACCAATGAAGAACAAGAACAGAAGCATACCGATGAAGAACAAAAAGAGCAAGAGAAGAAGAAGCAAATCGATAAAGAACAAACAAGAAGAATTATTTCGATGAGCAAATCGAGGGACAGGAAGATCGATGTATAAAATTATTTAAGACTCCAAATCATTGAGCAGATATGTTGCATATCGTCGATATCCACATGATGAAGGGAAGAAAATGGCAGATATATTACATATCATCAGATGGAGAAGATGAATGGAAGAGAAGGGAGATTCAAGGAGAGTAGGTTTGTTGTTGATGAGCAGATGAAAGGAAGAGAGAGATGAAAGGAAAAGAAAGATGAAAGGAAGAGAAAGAGCAGGTTAGGTTTACAAGGCTTTTTTGTATTTTGTAGTAGAATCCAAAGGAATGGATTTGAATTCCTGCATCAACATAAAGGATTGAACAATTCTGTGGATGGTGGAATTCATAGGATTCCAGAGACACCTTTCCTAAAAAAGAATTATCCAAACATAACATTAGAATTCGGTTAATGGCATTGACCATTCCAATTTTGCTCAATTCCGTCGGAATCCGATGAACCAAACTTTCCCTTAGATTTCATGGAAAGATTTGGAATTGAAAGAATTTGGTATCTTTAATGTATTTAATTTGAAAAGAAATTGAATTTCATTATTCATAGATAATTTTAAAAAATAATTAAATTACTTTTTATTAACGAATTACTAAAAAACAAGTGTTTTTTAACATACTTTAAAACATTACTACAAACAAATCCTATGAAATATCGACCACCCTCAAAGAAATTCACGATTTCAAATCCAGGAATTTCTATAAACCAAACATAGGTGGTCATTGAAAGAATTGAAGGAAGGATTTATGGCCAAGGAATAAAATGGTGTAGAATAAATATCAGAAAGACCAAGTTTGAATCTGAAATTGATGGCAACAAATGCAAATTACAAAAACAAGATAATTCAATGGCTCTGAGGAATAAGCTACAAGGGTGATCAAAATCAAATAGCCTCTTTGCCTCGAGATGAAGGGTCCGAATCCGATTGCTTGCAGGTCGAAAGAAAGCTAAAGGATACGAGTAATAGTTCTGAAGAAGCTATTCCCAACACAAAAACAGTCTCTTAGTACAAAAAAGTAAATTAACATCAAACGAGCAAGCCAATCTGGCTCCACACGTTAGAGTGGAAAATACCCTTGTTACCGCTACTCTATAGTAGGCCTCTAATTCATGAATGGACGAGGTGTGTACATTCAACTACGATAGGATCAAGTAGACCATGAATAGCATAAATCATGCATGGAAATTGGAAAGAACCAGCAAAGGCCAACAAACAAAGAAAGTTCAAACCATTTATATAACATCTAAAACTTTAAGAGTAACAAACTTCTTTACTTCCATCAGGTGTTAAAACATAAAAAAATGTAACAACACTAACGACCAAAGAATTAAAGATATATCTTTTGCATTTGTAGGTCAAAATGAACCATTTAGCAGCAGGCAAAACCAAGCTCAAATGTAAAGTAATAAACCAGAGACTAAAAGATGTGATTATTTCAAGTATCATAACCTAGAGGATAACATCTAGAGTCAGAGGACCTAGTATACTGCGGTGCGTGATTTGATCAAAATTCCGATTTTACAGATTTGAAATGAGAAACTGTCATCCCATTTAATCCAATCGAGATGCCTTATGTAATTGACTATGAAAAGATACAAGGCTTCTAACGACAAGACCAAGTTCCGTATCTATTTTGTGACAAGGCATGATCCGATAGCAACAACGCGTCAATGAAAATACTAAAAACATAAACAAAAAAATACAAGATGCAAAATTCTTTAATATCTCTCAAGCATGAACGACATTTGATGCATAAACTGGGAACAAAACAATGACTATTGTCATTTAAGCTAAATTCAAAATTGACATGCTAACCTTAACCTGAAAGTGCTTCTAACAAGGGCGTCGAGCTACAAGACTATATGCCTGTAAATGCCTTCTTCCCACCACCAGAAGAACCAGCTGGTATCACTTTCAACACATTGAACCTCACTGTCTTGGACAAAGGTCTGAAAAAACATTATTATATCAACAAAAAGCCTCACAAAGTCAAAGATGAGAAAGATACAAGATACAGCATGAATAATACATTGGGCAATAAGATCAAACCTGCACTGTCCAACTGTGACATGATCACCTTCTTTCACACGAAAACACGGTGATATATGGGCAGGAATGTTTGAGTGCCTCTTCTCATATCTGTATGAGATGGAGAGAACATCTGATAATATTAGGATAACTACTTAATGACGAATTTGAGCAAAATTAACAAATTGTGGCTAGAGATTTGCATCTTGCCTTTGGTATTTCTTGACAAAGTGGAGATAGTTCCTACGAACAATGATGGTCCTCACCATCTTAGCACTGTGGCATGTACCAGCTAGAATACGGCCTCTAATGGAGACATCACCGGTGAAAGGGCACTTCTTGTCAATATAAGTTCCTGAAATCAACATATCGTTACCGAATTTGTGATCAGCAGATAACCAAAAACTAATGTCGGATTCAAAACGCCTAACAAGTATGTGAAGAAAGAAAGAAAATCTATTGAACCAACTTAAATTTCAAAATTCCTAGCACATCATCGACCACTCAAAGGGAAACAATAAGATGACAAATGAACGTATTGTATTTTGTAATTAGTACCTTCGATAGCTTCTCGTGGCGTCTTAAAGCCAAGACCGACACTCTTCCAGAATCTGTTTCCACCTTTTCCAGGCCTTTTCCCTTTTCCACTTTTCTTTGAGCTAATGGTTTCAATTAACGCCACGAACATTTACATTAATTAGATTAGATTAACACAACAATAGGAAAAAACAAGCATTAACAATCAAAGTAAAAATTCAATTTCAAATTAAGATGTTTAGGGTTTGCATCAAACCATAGAAATACTTTGGGTTGCTTCAAAAACGCTTTTTCCGTCTGCAAAACAGTAAACAGACAAATATGTTAGGATATGCACATGCATAGCTACAGGTAAACGAAGGAGAGAACATATAGCAGTCATAGACCTGTTCAGCCATGGTTGAAAAGAGACGAGCTTTGCAGCGGCGGTGGCAGATGAATCAAATGTTGCACTAACCTAACCCTAAGCTCTATCCCTTGCTGATGATAAACTACATTTGATGGGCTCAAATTTGGGCCGGGCTTAATATCCACATGCTGGCCCAACATTTTTAAAGAATAGACTCCACTCCACTCCAAGTTAGAAATGGCCGAACACCATGTCCCGGTCTAAGATTTTCCTTTGGTAACCAGTCTCGGTTTCGATTAAAAACATCTAATCCATTATTCATGTACAAAGCCTGGTCCTTACAGTTGGTCCTAGTTTTAGGCCGGGACTAAATCGGTTTCAAATATTTTTCCCAAAAATCAATATTGATGGGGTTTTTGGGATTGCTTATTTATAACGACTTATGTTTTTCTACAAAAGTGTTTATCAACTTATTATAAGTTAAAATGGTTTAACTTCTTCAAAAACTTCTTATTACTGGTTTGACACCTGTATAAGTTGTTTATCCAAATACTCAAAAGTACTTATTACCGATGTCATACCGAAATAAGTCAATAAGTTGTTTTTATAAACAATCTCAAATACCCTTTAAACATATAAAAGATTTTGTTTTGAAGATTTTCTCTTTTTTTTGTATAATATCTTATCGAAATACAGTTTAAAGTTTCTAGTTGGATCATTCATATACACGTTAAATCTTTTTTTTAATTTTTTTTCATACAAAAATGTTATAAACGTTTCTATAATCACGATTTTTGAAATTGTTTTAAAACACTTAAAAACTTCAAAAAAAAAACATGAAAAAACTTTAAAAAAATACATGAAATTTTTGGTAAAAAAACCTTCTTGAAAGTTCTGATATATAATTTATAAAAAAAAAATTAAATCGAACCTGTGTATAAGCAGTCCAATCCCCTAATCTTTCTCAAGCTGGGTCAGACCTTAAGTTTTCATATAAAAATGTAACCAATCCAGGACCATCAGTCCGTAACTGGTCTCGGTCCTAAGCCAGCCTCAACTCTCGAGCCAAGTCGGGCCCACTTTGGCCATATCTACTCCAAGTAAAAAGATAATGCAACTTTTAAATTATTTATTGAATTGAATACATTCATGGCTCTGTCGTTTGCTCCAAGTTTAAATGGTTCTTAGCAATTTTACTTTTAGAGTAAATTACATATTCCATCCTTATGGTTAACTGTTATTAACGGTCTTTGTTCTTCTTTTTTTGAAAATTCGACGAATGGTGCATTTTTTAATGAGTTGAATATCTGTGGGTGCAGTTTTCTAATGAGTTCAGTCCCTAAATAAATCAACAACATGGATCCCTGTGGTTGCATTAAGGACCCAACTTGTTGTAAAAATTGCTAAGGACCATTTAAAGTTGGAGCAATTTAAAAGTAAAATTGCTAAGGACCATTTAAACTTGCTAATGAAAAAAATGATGTTTTTATTGGGTGTAAACTGAATTTTATGAAGGAAGAACAACGATATCAACGATAAAAAAATATGCAAAAAAAAACACAACACATCAATAACAACCAATAGCTTAAATAAAAACATAAAATAAACCATAAAGAATGCAGCTTCCATCTTGATTTAGACATTCGATTGTGTAGTTTGCAATATGATGAAAGAATTAATAAATCAAAAGAAAAAACATTAAATAAGATATAATATATATATATATATATATATATGGGATAAAAAAGCGGAATAGAGAACGAAAGGTTTAGAACATTTATGAGTTGATGAAAGACAATTAATATAACCAACAGAATAAATATAAATATTTGAAAAAAAAGAATTATGAAATAACTTTTCCACAAAGTGTCATATAAGAAATTTCATATTTTACTTCTAGATTTATATAAAATAATGATGCCAAATGCTCAATCAAGAATATCTCTGGCTTGGAAAATTTTGTTTTTATTTTGTAGAAAATAATGAAATGCACATTTTTCATTCACGGATAAGAAAATATTTAACTTATTTAACATTTCATAAATTCAAAATAATGAGAAAAATCTATTTTTAAAATCATCTTGTGACAATGTGTCACACCATTTATTGGAAGTTTATTTTAATTAGTAGATGAAAAGAGGAAAATAGTATAATGAATATTCCTATTAAGTTATATAATGTGAAAGTTAAAGCTAATTAAGTTAGAAGTGATCAAAAAAGCCTTCTTATAACGAAATACATATTTATCATTTAGGGGTAGAATAGTATAGCTTATTTAATATTATAAAAATATTGACAAATCATGGAGGAACACACGGAATGAAGAGAAAAATGTTGGAAGTTAAGCTTTTTAAAATTACCAAAACAACTCTATTTTAATGAATTTCATGTTTTAAAAATAGGGATGAAAAAATGTTTTACATATCAAATATTTTAAAAAATCAAAAATCTAGGAAAAAAAAAAGATAAGTTTATAATATTTAGAGGAAGACATTTATTGTAGTATTTGGTTTCTCCTTTAATATATATATATATATATATATATATATACTTGGGATCATGTGAGACCAAGGGTTTTTCGTGAGACCCATAAGACCAATTCTCACCCCTTAGATTAGATCTACAATCTGAACATTCATAAACGCCACGAGACTTCTCAATAATCACAAAATTGTCACTGTACAACTTTAGACCATTAAATCATTAGCTAATAAAGTTGATCAATGAACATAAATTGATCTTACGGGTTTCACGAAAAACCTTTGGTCTCACGTGAATCCAACCCTATATATATATATATATATATATATATATAGGGGCCTAATCAAATGAGAACTAATTAGTTTGTGGTAACTGTGAGAACCAATATTAACCACAAATCAATAGATAAATTAGGAAAT